GAAGTTTCCAGAAACGGGAAGGAATTTCTATCGAAATTCAGAATTTTCTTTAGAATTTCTGAGAAATTAAAACTTTCGGAATTTATAAAATTTTTTTTGTGAGTCTCCTTTGAAATTTAGAAATTTAGATGTTTTGATACAATACTGCAATTAACTTTTATTTCCTCTATCTGGTTTGGAAAATTTAAGTACGCAACTAGGTATTTACGTATTTTTGGAAAATGAAGAAGTTGTGAGAAATGAATGAGTTTCTATCGAAATTCAGAATTTTTAAGGAATTTTCTTTGAAATTTAGAAATTTGATGTTTCGATTTTTTTTTTTCATCGTTCTCAGCGAAACGTCCGAGAAAACAAATTATTTTCCGACAATTGACTTTTAATTTTTTTCATACTCAACAGTGTATTTACAAAATTATTCATTACATCAGATTAAATCATATTTCGATGAATGAAAATATGTAAGAAAATATCGAAAAAGAAATTTCCGTTTTATCAAAAGAAATTTATACCGTAAAATAAATATTGGCAGCGATCAAAATAATTTTTAGATGAGTCTAGCAAACAATTTAATCCCTCTTTATTAAATAATAAAAATAATTAAACGTAAGAGAAAAATATTGTTCAAGTTCTTTCACTGGGCAGGGAAGGTGAATGATTTGCAGTAGATGGGCGAACCCTTCTTTTTAGTCTCTGGTTCTTTCGCCATATGTGTAATATAGCAGAACTCTCTGAGTCATACTGTCGTGCCTCGGAGGTTCAATCGTTAACGAGCAAAATTCAACAGCGGTTCATTAACGGTCAGGAGTAAACACGTTCATTACCTTCGTGGAATATTTGTTTCGGATCGATTTGTCGATACACCCTGTGTTAAGAGAAGGATCGAATAGACTAACTGCATTTTAATTAATTAATTATTTTCTAGGCACAAGTAGATTACAAATAGATCAGAAAAGTGTAATATCAATCGCATGTATCTATCTGTATCTGTTACAAAATTTTCGTGTCGTTTGCAATTTCATTAATTAATCAAATAAAACGGAAATTCAGGGCAGGAGAATTTATCAAATCGTAATCTTATCCCTTCCACATGAAGTAAGATCTGTAATAAAACTGGCGAAAAATATCCTGCCTACAAAATAAATAACTGAAGATATTACAAATATCATTGTTTCTTAAACATCAAATTTTTTTCTCAAGGTAACTTAATTTTTTGAGAACTTTAACTAGAGAAACTAGGAATATCTTAAATCGCAGTAACATCAACCATATGTTTCTAAACTGAGAAACTAGGAATATCTTAAATCGCAGTAACATCAACCGTATGTTTCTAAACGCATATTCTCCAATGAATCATTTGTATGAAATAATCTCACACGCATATTCGTACTTATTACTTGCGAAAAATGCTCTTCTACTTTCTCTCTATCGAAAGGATCGCCGATAAATACTCTGCTCCGAGACTAAACGAATAAAAAAAAAAAGGAACAATTTTTCTACATTTCTCTTCGCCACAATCAACGCCCATACTTTTCTCGAAAAACCGATCAATTTGTAACTGTGTGCATAACCCGATAACATTTCAATCAATACCGATAATTGTCGCTATAATAACAGCGATAAAGCCGCGATATCGCGGCCTTTTTTGCCTCCGATCTCGAGCGGGCCGAGGATAACCGATATTAACCGATACCTAACCTAACCTGAATAATCCCATCGACGATTTGTTTTCGAAAGGTTCTCGACGAAGAGGGCGGTCGCACGCGAGGAGCTGCTGCGCCGAGGAGCTTCAGAGCTTCCAGACGTTGCACGTGATCGGTCGTGACGGAAGGCAGCACAGCCCAACCGGAAGTCAGCCACAGGACCAACCTTTGATCGACTACAGACGACTGGTGTTCATCAGTTCGGACTCGTCCTCTGGCCGCGAGGAGGACGACGCCGACAGCAGTTGCTCGAGCTCCTCGTTCTTGAATGGGCTGCCACGTCCTGGCAGCCACGCGCAATCTCTCGAGGACTGCGACTGGGATTATTTCGAGAGTGGGTCCCTGCCTTTGCCAACAGGCGTGCCGATCACCATCGGCACGAGCAACGTGGCCACGGAGACCAGCACTGTCCAGGACTGGAGTTGCTGTCCTGGACGTGGTTCCACTGCCTGTCAGGTGGGTTAGGTTTGATGGATTTTTTGAATTTAAACGATTTCTAGCAATCGGTTAGATAAAACTTTTGTACGCGACAGGATTTTTGCGAATGGTAGGATTTTTATGGATGAATTGGATAAATGAGAAATTAAATTAATTAATGACTTGATTGCATAAATGAATTATTGTATTATAATCTATGGTTGTAGAATTTTTGTAGGATTTTTGCGAATGGTAGAATTTTTATGGATAAATGAGAAATTAAATTAATTAATGACTTGATTGCATAAATGAATTATTGTATTATAATCTATGGTTGTAGAATTTTTGTAGGATTTTTGCGAATGGTAGAATTTTTATGGTTGGATAAATGAGAAATTAAATTAATTAATGACTTGATTGCATAAATAAATTATTGTATTATAATCTATGGTTGTAGAATTTTTGTAGGATTTTTGCGAATGGTAGAATTTTTATGGATAAATGAGAAATTAAATTAATTAATGACTTGATTGCATAAATGAATTATTGTATTATAATCTATGGTTGTAGAACTTTTGTAGAATGTTTGCGAATGGTAGGATTTTTATGGATGGATTGGATAAATGAGAAATTAAATTAATTAATGACTTGATTGCATAAATGAATTATTGTATTATAATTTATGGTTGTAGAATTTTTATGGATGGATTGAATAAATGAGAAATTAAATTAGAAAACGAATGACTTGATTGCATAAATAAATTATTTTTCATGTACGTATAATTAATTGTAATATTAATGTCTTTCATATTTGGAACATAATTTTCGCTAGTAAGATGAATTCTATTCTAAACCTCAATTGTTGTAATTGTTTGTTTAATTTTACAGTTTGTAATTATAATAGTTTATAGTTGGCAGTTTTATAGTTTACAATTAATTAACGGTTTTGTAGTTTCTAATTCTAATTTTATTCAATTTTTGCAATTTTTTTATACTGTTTCTAGTGTGCGATGTTGTCTTTTATTTTTTCCAAAGTACAGCTAATTTATGTAATCTTCTTTTCGCGTATTTTAAAATAAAGTTAAATTGAAATAACGTGCGATATATCATCTGCGCTTTTTCGTCCATTATACAATATATCTCTTATCGCCATTCGACAATTGTCTGCAAAAGTAATCAGCACCTATTCACACAAACTTCTTCCAATCATTCGAAATAGTAAATACTTACCGTCTACTGCAGATATAATAGTTACATAACTTCTGAAAATAGAAACATTTTAGGTGAGAATGAAAAATTTGAATAAAAATTTCTTATTTTGGAAAAACAATCTAGTTACTAGATTGCAAAATTTTATATATCTTTATATATTTTTATAAGCACAAATCAAGGAATATAAAACTAATAGAACCTAAATAGAAGTTTGTTACATTATTTCGAACACCTTCAATGAGTCTGATTATTATACAAGATATATTTTTAAAAAGTTAATAACAACAGAACGTAATTTCGTTCAATTTAGTTAAACGGAATGAAAATTGACTAAGTTAAACGAAAGTTGTTGAGTTCAATTTTCATTCCCAATTCTTCTCTCGAACGCTTCTTCTTTCCCGCGTTCTATTTATCCAACATTCGTCTGTGCAGGCCTGCGGTGGCTCCCGAGGTGCGAACGTGCTGCCAGTCCCGGTTCCAATCCCCGTGCCGGTGCCATATCCGGTACCAGTCCCAGCATCTCTGTGGACCAGCGACCTCGCAGCGGCCGCCTCCTCGATGATAAGCCGCAGCAGCGACGCTCACGCGGAACCGGGAACACTGAGGTTGAGAGGCGACCCAGCTGCACCCTGGTTCGCTTGGCACCCGCGATTCAATCAGCCTCTGCACGGAGCCAGGCTCGATCCACGGCTCACCGGTGTCTTCGATCCAACCACATGCTCCTTCAGACCCGATCAAGTCCTGGCTCAGCCATTGTACGCCGCCACTATCGAACCTTCGACTATTCCAACGACAGAGGAACTTAGGCAACGTGTGAAGAATTTGCACGTGAATCAGGATGAGAACGACGACGCTGGAGTAAGCGGCGCGATCAAGTCCGTCCAGGAGGCTGTTTCGTCGGACGTTTCCAACGAGTCGAAGGCCACAGAACAGTCATCCGCGACCGGGCAAATTGGTAAATTGGACGAGTCGAAGGTCGAGCAGAGTCGGGAAAGCGATGACGAGGCGAATGAGACGAAGGACACTGAGGAGAATTGCCAAGATTCGGTGAGCGTGTCGTTCGAGAACAGAAGGGGCCAGCAAAGGATGTTCCAGCACGACGATTCCGGCAGCTCGTCGGGCCGTTCTTCCGCGGACAGCAGCGACCTCGAGGAGGATTCCTCTTCTCACAGGTTCTCGAGGGTGTTCGTTGTTAACGACGACTCTCTCACGAGCGACAACGATATCGAGGACAACGGGGACGAGGACGAGGACGAGGACTCTGCCACCGAAGACGGTGTTACTTTGAAGAGAGTCACTGCTTTGCCTGACGAG